CCGAAGCTCGGAGAGCAGTGCAAGGGTCCCCAGCGAAAGCAGGGGGGACCAGTTCGAGCTTTCAGCATGCGCCTTTGCTTCAGCTCTGGCACGTCCCCGGCCCTTATTTGCTGGTGCGTCCCCGGCTTTACGCTTGGCCATGATGGGATGGGCCGGGCAGCCAGGATCAAAACATAGGGAAGCTGCTGCGATTGAGCCCAGAGCTTGGAAATACAGCCAGACAGCACCGTCAAGTGAGGATGCATGCAGAATGTCTGAAGCAGCACACCTCTTGTAGAGTCGGTAGCTGAGACGAGTCGAGGACAGAGGAGGCCTGGAAGGTGCAAAAGCAACCAGAGCAGAGGACGTGAGGAGACATGGGGGTCGGAACGGACCGTCCAGAGCAGCGAAACATTGCTGCACCAGGCGAGGATTCCTCAAACCTTGGTAGCCCCACAGAGCGAATCCAGAGATATGGAAGGAGTGGTTCCGAGTGGCAAGCGATCGGCGAGGTCACCTCGAACCGAGATAAGCAACCTGAGAGAATCTCAGATCCCATTGGTAGCGAAGCTCGGGGTATCCAGGTAAGGACCTTGCAATCCATGGCAGCCTCCCAGCACCTAGTCAAAGCAGAGGACAGGGCAGGCCAGAGGCCCCGGAGGCGACCACAGAATCCTCGACCGCAGGATCGAAGCACTAGCTGATCCAAACAGACAGGGACACGCAAGAATGCCACGTCCCGAAAGTGATATCTACATACTAGTCGCTCTGGGACAAGTACAAACAGGTAGCAAGGTTGCAAGCAGTGCACGTCCAGGGCCACACAATTGTGGCACATTTTTGCACAAGGGAAACTTGGCGTTATGACCCCTCCCAAGGTGTACGGAGGTTGTTCAGCCCACTGATCCTCCGTCCATGGTCTCCAGGTCAATGTGTCGTGCCAGCGACCTGAAGGGTGGTTGATCCATGGGAGCTGTTGTCTGGTGAGCTGTACCTGAGAGTAAGGCTTTCGCGGGAAGTCATATAGGTTTCCAGGTACCATCGGTGTAGGCGGCAGAAACGTGCTGTTCTGTCTCTCCGATCTAAACATATATTTCCCCAGCGGCTGTAGTTTAAGCCTGAGCGAAGTCTGAAAAGGAGGCCAAAGCAGGGCAGAACGGTCTGCCTGATTCCAGCTCGCACCTGAAGCCTGCATCCTTCTCATCACGTTGTTTGCCCGACCTGCGGTGGGAGTGCCACTCATCCAGAAGGCTGAGAGGTATCATCTCACCTGGAGTGCGGTTGGCCCTTCCACGTGTAGCCCTGAGTGAACCTGGTGGCTGCAGATCGATATTGTAGGATAGATTGCTCATCGAGGTCACACTGAACAGGGTGCGGACAGTGTTTCGGCTGGACTGATACCTGTATTGCAGAATAAGCAAGAGAATCACACAGGCACAGCGAATCCAACCTGGGGCAGCAGTCGGTGTCGCAGAGGGCATCTTATTGGCGCTCTTGGTGCCAGCAGAATTTGCAATGGCGTCAGAGCAAAGAAGAGCGACCCAGAACGCAAAAGCACAACACCGCAAGCAAAGCCCCGAAGACCCCGAACCAAGCCCACAACCCAGGGCCAAGCCACCTCACTCACACAGTGTCGCTGTGAGGCTGTGAGCCTTCTACAACACAAGCATAAAAGCATATGTACATACATACATACATACATACATACACACATACATACCCGGTTGCACAAGTCCGTCACGCCCGGTTCAAGCGGGGAGCACAGCATAAGCGTTTTTTATCCGATTGCTCCAAAACCGCAGCTCGGTCCCATGCCGATGGAACACCCGCATCCGGAGAAGGCCGACCGGCCTGTGCCGAAAAGTTCGGCGTGGGAAGGAACAGGATAGATCGCTCGCGTGCAGCCATGTCGTTCCCTCCCGTGGGCAGGATAGCCTGTAGGTCCGACCAGCTTCGAGGTTCAGGTTACCAGTTTGGTTACCCCACTTTGGCCCAAGCCCGGTTCTGCAGCCCGCCGCGGGCATAGCAGAGTTGACCACCAGTAGCTCCAGTTGCACCAGGATGTACACTGGATAGCTCCTGATGCCCCCTCGGCCAGCTTCTCAACAATGCTGGCATGCGTCGCACGTAGCTTGTCCGGAAAAGCGGCCACCGTCTCGACGTAGCAAACAGCCTAGAGGATAGCATCAGGCACCGTCCGGCCGCAGGGCTCGTCACCCCAACCACCAGATCCGCCGGGCTCTTCGAGGTCCAGAACAGGCTCCAGAATCCCAAAACCCTGGCTTAGCAAATGCCGGTAAGCCCGATCGAGCAGCCGCCTACGTTCCTGCTGGACCGTAGCCTGCGCTTCTAGCTCGGCCTCCAACTCCCATTTTTGCGAATAGAACATTTGCACTTTGGGGAGGAGGGTCAGAAGCTGCGGTAGCATGAAGGTACGCCGCAGTATCGTCCTCCCTAGCACAGTGGGGACCTCAGTACGGCAACTGGAGCTTAGCGGGGGCGGGGAATCCCCTACCACGGTAGCGCAGTCGGCTGCAGCTTCCACGCCATCTGGAGGCGTCTCCACTTGAGTAGCGTCGCTGTCGGACATGGCAGCGCACCAAAGCAGGGCTAATTAGCCCTGTTCCCTGTCTACCCCGCACTCAAAAATTGCCTTCCGCTAGCAGCGGGATCGTTCTTCACATTGGCCACGGAATGGCTCAAGTTCCTCAAGCCATGTGCGGGCCCAGCTTCACGAGCAAAACCCCTTCGAAGTTTCTTCTAGCGAAACACCTTCGATGTTTCCACAAAGGATACTAGCGCTAGCATACACTGTCGTACCTCGTCCCTCGGCACGAGTGCGAGGTCGACTGTATGCCCACTGGTAGCGGCCCCCGGCCGCAGTGGCTCTGGACGCCCAGTTCCGTCTTCATCTCTCGACTGTTCTTTGTTGGTCACAGCTCGTGGGGGATCACCTTTCACTGAGGAACTCGGTCTGCACTTCGGTGCGGGAGAGAGGCGTGGATGCTTGCGGGCTGGGAGATCGATGGAGGACCGGCTGCCAGGCTGACCTGTTTCTTCTGCTGCTGCCTGCTTCATGATCGTGGCCTCGAAGTTGCCCATGTGAGGGTGCCCAGCTGCTGTGCCTCCGTCCTTGTAAGTCGGATGGAGGGCGGCGGTGGATCAAAGGGATTGAACCAGCTTCTCTCGCCAGCAGATGCGGCAAACCCTGCCCGAGCAGCATGGTGAGCTCCGTCCTCGCCAGAAGCCCTCCTATCATCATCAGGCCTAGGGCGGGCCTGCTGTCTGGCACGTCGTTTAAGTTGTCGGGACGACATGCAGGGACTAGCAACCCCAGCAAAGAAGGGGCAGCGAGCCGCTAGTGCACCCTGGCACGAGATCGAGCCAAGCTGAAGGAGGCCAGCATGCAGGAGGGAGTGTGCGCCCAAGACAACAAGAACGGTCTTTGAACAAAAATGCAACACCTGCACGGACCTGCAAAGGGAGCTGAAGCTGAAGCTGAAGGCATTGATGCTGAGAGTCTGACCACTCGGCAGAGGGATGAGGCGAGTGGGCAGCAGAGCCTGGGCAATCAACGTGTCCAGTGAGGATGGCATCGGATCGAGCTCGAGTCCGTCGAGCGCAGAGCTCGGCTGGCGACGGGAGAGGCAGGTAGAGGAGCAGAGCACCCTTTCTGCCAAAACACCAGTGTATACGCTCGACCAATGGACCGAGGCTGCCGAAGCCCCGAGCTGCTGAACCACATGTCGGGCTCCTCTTCCATGATCGCTGGGGGACCGCCTCGAGCTGTCACCGCGAGCCCCTGTTCGTGCGATCGATGGGCGAAAGCTTCTTGGCGCACGACCCCCAGCGGTTCACTCGAAGCTTCGAGCGAGCCAGTCCTCGTCGCGGAGCGGGGAGTCGTCGGTGTAGGTCCCACTGAGCACAGGGACCTCCGGAAGTCATGGGGAACAGCAGAACTGCCTGTAGTTCGCGAACAGCGGACAATGGTAGCCCGAGTTCGGGGGCATGACCTGATCCCTCTCCGTCAGAACGTTGATGGAGCTCGCAGCATTGGAGATGATCTCCTCCACTAGCCAGTTCTGAAAAGGAGAAATGATGCTTTCGTCGCGATTGTCGACGACCAAGAACGAATTCCTCGCGGGATGGTTTTCCTCTGCAACGACCTGCTGCACGAACTCCGGTCGCTGAACAGCAAAAGGGTTGTCAGCTTCGGGAGCTCCTTGGTTGTGACGGCCTCGACGATCGTCTCGGCCCCAGCCGGATCCCCAGTCGTCGGATGCAGCAGGAGGAGCTGCATGATTCTCCGGAGCCTCGGCTTGTCCCGAAGTGTAGATTTTCCAGTTCCCTGGATCTGCAGCCTGAGGGAGCCTCCTGGGCAACCCGAAATGGGGGTATCGCCGGCTGCTGTCCCTGATAGGGTCCAGCAGGTGGGAACGACATTGCTGCAAGGCAGGATCAATCTAACTGTCCATCCGCCGATCTTTTAGATATGGGCCGATCGGCTTGGCTTATTGCCAACATGGCCACGGATAAAACAGGATCACGGCTGTTCTGAGGATCGCAAAACGGATTTCCTAACTCCTACCCACCCTGCCGATAATTAGGAGACACAGTTTATGCACATACACTCTCAACTACCTATTCGTAGGTGCAATCTTACCTGTCACAGTATTGAATCTCAGGCTGGCTTTCTTCTCAAGAACACAAGACCGTTTGCCTAAGAGCCATAAAATACTTGTACCCTTACTGAAGCCACGTCGTACTCTTGGGTATGGACGAACGTATGAATCGTTTGGGAGCCGGGGGGGCCGGAGAATGGGGAGGGGAGGGGAGTATCCGCAGGGTCGGCGATGGTTGGCACTCATCATCAAAGTGCCGAGCGAACACTGTCAAAGAGGGCAAACACTGTCCATTCAGTATTCAGGAGGCCAGAATATCGGCTGTCGCATACACAAACTGCTTGGTCCAAGGACCTCCCTTCTGAGCAGCGTCACATGAGAGAACTGCAAGAATGCGTCTCAGAGGGTCTGGCCAACGTCTAGCTTGGTTAGGAAAGTCCTGCACAATTTCATAGCAGTCAAAAGGCTAATGTGGCACTGCCCCCTTCTCTCCTGAGAGTTGTCAGCGCACTCTCACAAACGTCAGGATCCTGACTGCGAGACGAGACACTTGGAGTAGATGTGGTGATGCTTGTGAGCACTAATCTTGCCTCCAGCACATAGACCTGGCCGCATCCTGCCACGATCATTGCCTTAACGCCTGCAAAGATGGCCATGACGACCGCGATCAGGAACGTCACCAACACCTTAGAACTCTGCAATTCACAAAGGGGTCTTGATCCTGGTCACCATAACGTTGGCAGGAGCGACACACGTGCAACGAAGCGCTGAGGAGAAGTCGATGACTTGCATGAAAATTATGATGGACCAGAAACACAGTTCTGTGTCGTGAAAGTTGCTGCCTTTGCACGCTGCAAGTGCACGAAGGGGCCAGCTGGACAAGCTCTCAAGCTGAGGTTGGAACAGCAACCGCAGCATTTGGAGCACAGCAGAGACATGCGCCCCCACAATGTCTGCTCACCCTGCAATAAACAAACTGAACATCCCAATACCAATACCCGGCATGAGCATGTTGCAAACGGCCTGGGGCTCTGCTTCCTGCGCAACTGGCTTCGGACCACCAAACCTCACGGAACCAACAGCAACATAGCCACTTGAGTGCGAGCACTTGTGGGATCAAAGTATCTGGGTTCCCGTACCAGCCATTTGCCCAAAGGCCATAATACAGCGTCAATGCACAGAAAGGAAGAATGAACCTTCGATCAGCAGCTGAGCCATCTACCGCTGTCATCCTGCTAGAACAGTAATGATTGTATAATAGCCTGGCCACACGCAACATGAAACAACTGCAGTGTATACAACCAGCATTAGCGAGAATGACAATCACTGTGCATGACAACACATTGCAATACTCGGCACGATTTTCGACTGCTACTAGCACATGCTGTCCTACAGTTCATCGGCAGCCTGCAGAAGTCCAGCACACACCAATCACATCACACATTCGCATGTTCCCCTGATTCCAAAAGCGCGTGTTTCGTTTGGATTTCGTGCAGCATCTTCACATCTGATCAGAACTGAAGCCCTGTCACTGCGTCCGCATAACTCATCCAGCTGGTCAACATGATGGCAGTTTCCGCTGCCAAAAACAAACGTGCGACTGAAGCCCGCGCATCGGAAAAATTACAAACCAGGCACGCGAAGTAAATGACCCAGATTGTCACCCAAAGGTCTGCGACAGTGTTGAAGATGTGAGGACCTTTCTCCTCCAGCAGAAGAAAACATCCGGGCAACAGCCATCTGAGCCTTGGATCTGTCCTCGAAAACCGAGAAAATCGAGTCAAGGTTAGAGCTGAGTTTTGACACCTTCGGGCATTCACTATGGCTCTCTCCATAGCCAACCTCTGACCGTAGATTGCCACACCTCACTTCTGGCATCTTTCAGAGTGTCGACGGCGGTGGGCAGCAGGTTCGAGAAGGTGCGCAACAGATTCACCATTCCTCGCACTTGCAAGATCTTCCTCTTTCACGTGCTGCAAACAACTTGCTCACCTTGCCACGCATGAGAAATCGTGTCGGTCACCCCCTCTTCCTGAATGCTTTCCTGTCGGAGAAGTCAGCTTGCAAAAGATTTAGCTTTTGTCGCTGTGGCAAATCCTGGTACAGCATAACTTGCTTCGGCTGGCTGAACAACCGATCAATCTCCGAATCCTCGGTGGTCGGGATTGAATGTCCTACTTTCCAACCCTCGCTTCTATGCCAAGCAGCCACGGACAGAAGGCTAACCTGTGCCAGTGCAAGGAGAAAACAAACAGCGAAGGAAACGCTTGTGGCGGTCCCAGTCCCAGCCTTGCTTGTGAGCTTGCTTTTCACTTTGTCTTTCAATGTGTCCAAGCCTCCCATCTCCGCAAGCGCGCTGCTGGCAGGAAACCATGGACCGCCAGTGGGTAGTTTGGCCTTCGCCTGCGACATCCGAAGCTTTGTCCAGTGCCTTGTCGAGAAGTCCTTCCAGTGCATCACCTGAGCCCGCACAAACAAAGGTGCTGTCGTATTTGAGAAAATATCTGATGAAAGCTTAGCCCGCTATCCAGGCTGTCGCTTTCGGAAGCACGGAGCAGGGCCACAAGTGAAACTATTCGTCAGCAGTCCGATTCAACTGGACAAACGCATGGATAACATGAAAACACTTGTGGCAAAACAACATTGACTGACTGTGCAAAACAAACTGTGGGCAGGGATCAAAATGTGGAAGATCCCGTACCAGGCTTTTCGTCACTCTTTTCAAGCGGCTCGGTAAACTTTAAACACTGGCCACGAAGTAAAGCAAAACTTGGAGACATACAATAGTGGAATGTCCCATGACCGCACTTGGGATGCTCGTGGCCATTCGTGGCTGCCTAGGTTGTGTCAGAACCGCGAGGAAGGTGCGTGCAGCTAAGGGTGCCAGGGGACACAACGCAAAGGGATACCAAAGTGGGACCATGGCATATCGGAGCTGTTCCCGATCAAGGCAGGAGCTCCGCTTCTGCTGACAATGTCAATTCGCTCCTCGCCGGGCAACAAGTGCTGCAGGTGGGGGCACAACACGCAGACGGTTGCATCACCTTTGGTGAATGTGCGAATCATCACGCACAAGATACCAAGCAGCCCCCTCACCAGCAGAAATGTCATTTCAGTTCGCCGGCAATGGCCTCAGTATGGATTTTTTGAAAGTTTCCACGTAGATGGGAGCACAACACGCAGATCATTGCGTCACCTTTGGTCAAGGGGAATGTTCATAACTTGCCTGGTGCGAAACATAACTCACAAAATACCGAGCTGGATTGTCGTATGCGAGCCCGCTCTAAGCTTCCAGTCATCTTGAGCTCCTGGGGACCTCAAGGCGGGGTCAGCATAAGTTTATGTTCCGGGTCAGGAAGAACAGCTTCCGGCTGCTCGTTAAAATCAACGTCGATGACTTTATCAGACTTGTATAGGGTATCGGAGGATGAAGTCTTACAATTACAACGCTTTGGGTTGAAATTCAAGGGGAATTTGGCTGAGCGCAGGAATCCATTACCTCCGGGAATGTTTGAAAGAAAAGCAAGCAACTGCTTTTTCCACGTCCCCCGTTGGCGAAAACCCAAGGTTGATCGGGCCGGTCCACAAGAAAGATCTGCGATCTGCCGTGCGAAGGACCGGACGGTTACAGATCCAAGTCGAGATGGAACGGGAGACCTCGGCGGTGGTCAACGCGGGTTTTGTTTGTGCTCAGCAGCACGGGGTTTACCAGACATGCTCACTTGCACGGCACAAGAGAAGCCTTCGGGCCAAGCTTCCCGACGTTTGTAAAGGAAGGAGCAATGGGCGGCCAAGAGGGTAGGTCCGGGTATGTCTCATGTACCTGGTCACGGAGACCTCGTGGACAGCATTGGTGAGAGACGGGCTATCCGCAGCGAGCACATCTTGCATCGATGGACAATGGAGCAAAGTGTCGAGAGGCGCCGCGACAACTGTCGCGATGAACGACTCGCACTCGCGACTGGCCGGGGCAAGAGTCAGCTGGTAGTTTACGGGCCGGGGCGGAGGGACCAAACCGCGCAAGGAAAAGCCCGAGCTCAGTTTCGACATGTCCCGACGAGATTTGTCAGGACAAAGAAGAATTAGGGGTTCACGGACGGGATTCCTCACCAAGCCCGAGACAACAAGAATCAGCAAGATGCCCCAAGCGCGTCAGGTATGAGCGTGTGCAGAGAGCCGTATCGGCAAAGTCCGGCCTCTCCCGTCGTTCTAGGCCCCAATGTCGCATGGCTCGCCCTCGTAGATCTCGCTCGACGACGACAACCACGACCACGGCTACACCCACGACCAGAACTACGACCACGGACCGCGACTGACACACGAAGTGCTCAGGTGGAACTCAAGCACTGCACGTGTTCTCGCAACACTGCGGCTTGGTAGTTGCCTCTGCCGGGCTGCCACTCGCGCGCGCGGGCAAGGTCTGCTCGAGTGAACAGAACCGCAACATACACAAGCACTACACTTCAACACATTTCAACACGTCTCCGTCACCAAAAGACGCAAATCAAAGTGTGGGGGTTGTCGAAGCACATTTTTATGACTTATATAACTTATATACTGAGTCTTTGGCCGATCTTATCGCCGAGAGCCGATGCGGTAAGATTGGAGATCTCCCCGCCCAAGGCATCGCTCATGTACTTTCCGATCTGGCGCAGCAAACCGTGGGGACAACAGCATGTCCGTTCATGTGCCTTCGCTGCCGTGGTGTTGCTGCCAACGGCTTCAGCCAGAATCTCCTGACGTATGGCCCAGGACGCATAAAATACGCAAACTGTGCACTCTACCCTACACCGCATCAGTCTCCTCCAGTGGCTTCTCCAGGGACTGGGCTAGTGGACTCGAAATCACATCACCGATCCTGCAGCGAAAGCTTCTAAAGATCTGGAATCTGCGGGTCCCGGACTGAGCATCGAACATGGTGCCCAGGCGCTGCCCAGCATTGTGCGCTGCTGAGTGGATAGCCGACTCCAGCTGGGGCGCGGACCTAAGCAAAAGCTCAAGCGCTTGCGGGGCCAATCTGTGCAACCGTGCTCTTCAGCACAGGGCACCGAGACTCCGCGAGGCTCGAAAGCTACGACACAGGGTGCCGCCAGCGTCGGAAGAACAGCTCTTCCGTCCAAACCCCACACCTCCGAGACCAACCCATGAGTCCAGAATGCGCACCACGCCGAAGCGGGAGCCGGCATCACGCACAGCACAGGCGGGAGCAGATTGGCCCCCCGCCACTGCGGCGGGAGCACGACACGAGTCGCAGCCGAGTCATGCACATCGTAGCGGGTGGCGGTCTCAAGTTCGCAAGTGTCAAGGTTCTGGGCCAGTCGAAAATGTATAACATGCGGAAAGGCCGAGACGGACCTCGAGTGAAATCGACCAAGAAAAGACATGGACACACAAGGAAAGGCGACAGGTTGAACGGTTGCTAACGAGCGAAGAAAGCACGACCGCGCAGAAGGCGGCCCATGCTCCAAGATGCCGAGCCTTCTCGACCCAGAAAGCTACCTGTTTCTGAACCCGGCGCGGTCCAGCGAGAAGCACCAAAATACACCGACGTTTGTGAGCATCAGACAGGTCTGCTTTGTCGGCAAAACTTTGACAGATTTGAAATGCGAAGGTCAGACGATCTGTTCTGGTACAATTGCGAGACTTTGGACGCAAAAGGCGAAAGGCTCGCAAAAGCCTGCGCAACTTACCGAGGGGAAGGCTTGTTGATAAGGCCCACCAGCTTGGACTCCACTGTCTTTCGCACGTCCTACGACCAAAAGGGTTTGCTTTGGGAACTTTGGGGATGGCACAGAATGGACAAGTTCCCTCACCACAACACTCGCCAACGGCATGGAAAACGGACGCGCATGGACGCACTGCAATTCTTGGCGTCCAGCCGTGAGCAAGCATGTTGACACAGAGGCTGTCACATCGGGAAAAGTCTTTTGTCCCACTGACTTGCGTGACGACTGCTCGCTTTCTCTCGCTCTCGCTCTCTCGCTCTCTCTCTCTCTCTCGCTCTCGCTCTCGCTCTCTCGATCTGGAAATGCCGTCGACGGAGCTACGCAAAAGAGACACTCTTCCACGAAGGTTGTAGATTTTCAAAGCTCAAGGCTCTCCTGACAAGCACACGTTCGTTTCCTGCCCGCCGGGGAGGGTGGCCGGGCTCGCACTGAGTGTGCAAAAGAGCGTTCACAGACAGCTTCCTCGACGGCTTTGGTGAGGAAATCTTCCACTTTGGCCTCTAGGTCGTTGATGCCCTGCTGCCAAAGTGATAAGACAAGAGCACACAAATCCGTCATATGGGCTAAGGCATGGCCTTAGGCGTAGCATACTTTTCCATGAGCTGGATGAAGCTCTCAACCTGTGCAGTGATCTTCTGAGGTCACGGCAGCAGCATACCTTGAGCCAGCCTTCTTGATCATGGCTTGAATCTTGGATGCGAAATCATCAATGGAGTTGCTCGACTCAGACGCGTAGTCGAAAGAGAAATGCCTCAGCTGTCGTGCATGGCTATGCACTTGCGACATGTCATGAATGCAGAGCCAGGATACTGCAGCTCCTTCGCCCTGGCTGATGCGTTGCTGCGCAAGTAGGCAGCAAACTCCAGCGTCTCGGGAACTGCCACGATTCCCCCTGTCAGAGGCGAATGTGGTGACAAACAAGTGAGAACGACATGACGCCCTGCCTTGCGCAGCTGCTCTTGCCTTGTCCTGTTAAGAAGGAAAAAGGCAAACCAAGAGAAGAAAATATGTTTAAGTTTACTTTCTGCACTTTGTAGTTTGCTTGGGTCGGGGTCCTGGTTGCCAACGTCGGAAGCGGACCTGCGACGAGAAGACGGCTCAGACGGCTTCGTTTCAAAACGGCCTAGACTTTTCTTTCGGTCACGCCGAGATGCACTCCGCCCAAGAGTCGCTTGAGGAGAAGCTGCGATGTGGCAGAGGAAAAGAGCTCACTCCGTCGGCGTTGGCGTGCCTGCGATAAAACAAGAACGGGTCACCCCCGCTTTGGAACTTTAAACGATCGAGGCGACTTCTCCACTCGTAGAACCCTGCACGGACGTCCTGCAGCCGCTCCAGGCGGTAAAGCCGTGCACTCTCCTCACGAAGAAACAGCCCACATCCCGTGCATGGATCTGCGCATTGTAATTAGGCATGAGGCCAACTGCATGTCATTCTGCGCTGTACACACGTTGACCAACATCTACAGTAGCATTGCACAAGTAGCCGTGGCGGCGCCGATTGAGCCCGTTACCGCTACGAGTGAAGCGGCCTCTTGCACAGGTGTCAAAGGCCCGCAGGTTGAGTATTGGAATTCGGCTGACTGCTTTCGGATGGTAAGCAATTTCGTTCCTAAGGGCCGTGTACGACATGACAAGTGCAGTGAACCAGGGTTAGAAGAAACCAAAATGTTGATCCTGACCACTTCATCGGACCTGCGCAGCCTCCACGCCACAGGAATCTTTCGTACTCATATGTCGCATAGGTGATGACAAGTGCCCGCATGCCGTGAAGGCCCGCTTCAGGGCTTGCATAGGGCATCCGTGCAACAGCGGCTCGTCCTCCGCCATAATGAAAGCGGCCTGGGGCATCGCTTCGAGCAGCTCCAGTTCCTTGCAGTACACAGAGCAACTGAGGAGAGCAGGAAAGCGGAAGAACTTTTGTCAGTCCTGCTGCAGCGTGCTGTCCAGCGTGCTGTCCAGCGTGCTGCGTGTGCTCCCATCGAGCAAGGAGAGCAAGCTGGACCCACCCTGCGTCATGGCGGTCTTTTGAACCTGCGCAGACAAAGACATTTCCAACATGGGGTCCTTTGCGAGCCCGAGCCCCTGGAGTATGTCAAAGTCCTGAGTGATCCAGGAAGTCGCCATTTTGATGCACTCAGGCTGGTCCTTCAGGTCGTAGCCTTCGCGATGAGGGCACGAAGCATCTGCTGCCTTCTGATGCAGCTACGTGGCCTTGAGATTGCCACCACGACGAGTTGCCCAGCAAGTCGATGGTGCTGAGCATCGCCTTCGCCAAAATCGGACTGAGAGCACGAATCACATTTTGTGCAAGCTTCGCCTCAGGGTGAAGTTTGTACACTTCCTCAGCCAAAAGCAAAATCTAATCTGAAATGCACACGAAAAAAGAATCGGAAGAAGGCGTTTCTTGGCCAGGAATCTGTGGTCAACAAGAGGCCGGTGTCAGCACCTGCTGGTCGGTTTGGCATTGCCACTCGGCGCGACTAGCCGGTGCGACGAGCAATCGGCCCTCGTCCCTTTGGCCAAGTGCCCGGCTGGTGAACACGGCGGCATTGGGATTTTTGCTGGAGAGGCACATCCTCAAAATCTTTCCAAAGACCAGAGCTCATTGCCACAGCTTTTGACAACAACGCTGAACCTTGTGAGTCCGGACTGGCAAGAAACGGTGACGTCCACACTCAAACTGCGTTCGAGTGTCTCAACGAAAACAGTCCCGGTGAAGTCCAGCGGAACACTTCCATTTCCAAGTCGGTCGGCAATCCAATCCACTTTCGTCATGTTCTTTGCACACACCTCGAATCAGCTCGAAAGGAGCGGCTGACCCTGTGTTGCCGATTCGCCCATTGCAGCCCAGCCACCAATTTCACATAGTTGGCAACACTACGTGCCACATCATCTCTCAAACGAGCTTCACCGACATCGCCCGCAATCTCCGCCAGTCGTTTGGCGTACTTCCTGCGAAGAAATTGACGACGGCTCCGAAGTTTCCATTCCCAGACTGCTGTGCCATGCCTGAGGATCACGGACAAGGAGCCCGGAATGCTGGGATCGTTCACCAGCTTCTCGAATTCCTCTTCACAGTGTCAGTATGCAAACCTAAATCAAGGAATCGAAGCCTTTCGCACTCCGTTTACAAGCAGCGCGTGTCCCGAGGTCCAATTTCCCCATCACCAGAAACATCATACTTCTTGATGAGGGCTGCTGCCTTGTTGCCTCGAAGACTGACAAGCATGGTTGATGCAGCTCTTATCAGTAACTCACACCGCAGCCTTGGAGAGCTGAGATAGAAAACCAATTGCCCACATTCGTGAGCTCCTCGACGAATTTGCTGAAATTACCAGGCAATGCGAAAGGCATGCAAGGGCCCTCAACATCTGCGCGCCGTCGCAGAAACTTCTCCGGAATCGTCATCATCAAAAATGGGCCATGTTTGCTGGATCATCAAGTCCTGGGCCGCAGTTACAGCCCTCGGAGGTCTTCAACAGACTGTGCAGAACCAACAAAATCCACATAGCCATCCAAGCGTCCGAGTTGTTTCCAGCCCCATTCAGCTGTGCCATGACCTGATCGAACATCTTCTGGGCCTTGTCCAACGTCGAGCTGAAGTCTTCCAAGCCTCAACATGTTCCCTCCAAGGCTTCTTTGTGTCTTGAACTAGACTTGCAGCTGCTGACTTGCCGAAGGTGGCATTGTCACAGGGGCGGTCGACAAATGTGGACAAACAAGGCCAAGGCCTTTGGTGACTTTGTCTCCAAACTGAAGTATCCACTTGCCGACCTTTTGTGTGCAACACTCCCACGATAGCCACTTCCCTGCTCTCTCTCTCTCTCTCTCTCTCGGTCTCTCTGCCTCTCTCTTGTTGCCTGCTCCAGAGCTGGCTTGATCTTTTCCAGCAACGTGTGCAATCCTCTTTCCACCTCTTCCATCACGAAATCCATCACCTGCACATCTGTTGCTGGCTTCAGTGCATTCGGCGCTGTGTTCTGTGGCCATGGCCTGGTGTATCGCGCCGATGATGATGGGCACCAAGGCCTCGACATGAGACCTAGGCCAGGCCGCGGACGACGCTGATCACATCCACCGCTCTTCTCTCCCTCTCCCTCTCCCTCTCCCTCTCCCTCTCCCTCTCCCTCTCCCTCTCCCTCTCCCTCTCCCTCTCTCTCTCTCTCTCTCTCCCTCTCTCCCTCTCTCTCTCTCTCTCTCTCTCTCTCTCTCTCTCTCTTTCGGAAGGTAATAGGTGGGCGAGCTACCTTCTCTCCCTCTCTCGCTCTTTTTCGGAAGGTAGAAGGTGGGGGAGCTACCGGGAGCTACCTTCTCTCTCTCTCTCTCTGTCTGTGTCTGTTCCTCTCCCTCCCTCTCTCGCTCTCTCTCTCTCTCTCTCTCTCTTTCTCTCTTTTTCGGAAGGTAAAAAGTGGGGGAGCTACCCTCTCTCTCTCTGTCTGCCTGTCTGTCTCTGTCTCTCTCTCTCTCTCTCTATCTCTCTCTCTCTCTCTCTCTCTCTCTCTCTCTCTCTCTCTCTCTGTCTGTTAAAAGACACGAGCCCAATGATGCACTTAATGCCATGATGCATTTGAGAATGCTACAATGCTGAATGGCATTGTGCTGAACCTTTCCAGTGATCCACACGCCTGCGGAGTCGCAAATTCCGTATTGGGCTCAAACTATACAGTGGAGCAAAATAGTAAAACAGAAAACATCCTGGTTCAGTACGACAGCATACAAAGTGGTACACGTAGGGGTACAAATTTTAGCACCCCGCCTAAAGAGCGAACGACTTCGTGAATGCTCTTTACAAAAGTTTGTTGCTGCCTCACTATACACCAACAAAAAACACCACAGTTTACAGCTCCACAAACTCCTAAGGACTCGGACGTTTCGTCACTCGTGTAGCGCACTGCCGTAAAGGTCTTTGGCGCTCAGCTACGCTAGACTATACAAGTAGCTACAACTAGTTACCACCGCTTCGCCAGGCTCGGTCAGCCTGTGAAGCGATTGCTTGACTGACCTAGGCGCAGGCCTTGTTTAAGATCATTGGTGACTCAACTGTGCGGTGCGGCCACCTTCGTAAGATCAAGAATGCTCATGTTGACAAGAGCGAAGATTTGCCCACAGAGATTGCGATGCCTAAATGCATCAAGTGGTCGAAACCTACTGATGCAGACTCTCAGCCGCTCCACGGCTGCACACTCGAAGTTGAAACGTCATACAAGTATTAACACCAAAATGGCGTGTGTCGATCGTGCCATTCCAAGTATATGTACAGGTCACGCAGCCACTGTACAAGATCCACTCGATCAGCAAACAGCGCAGCGCTGTCTGCTCAAGGAATGGGCATCATGAGCATCCCAAGTTTCACACGACTTCAAGGGTTGCAGATGCGGCATCCACGATACCCACGACTTTTTGCAAGCTTTCTCGTCGTTGCAGTGACATTTGAGCTGTTGTTCAGCTTCCCACATTCGACTTTCTGGTAGCAGTATCCTTGCGATCCGGACACCCACACTTCATCATCACCACGGCTGGCTGCCTTGAGCCTTGGACGCACTGGTTCCCGTCTGGCGACTGGGCACTCATGCTCGCTGAAGCTGGGTGCATCCTTGCTTGACTTGTCGCTGCGACCGCTGCTCGAAACCTCAAGCTTCACACACGGGTCATCGCGACCTTGCAGGCACATCGCCTGGCTTGTCATCCTCCGCATATTCATCAATCCTGGGTGGTGGCTTGCTGCGGCGCTTGCTTTTAGCACCACGCGGCGATGCAAGGGATGTATCAGCAACATCTCCTGACGCATCGTTGCGCATGCTAATGTGCACACTTCGTGTGCGACACATGCACCATCCCACGAAAATAACTATCAGCCACATGAACCCTTGCACAATGGTAGTGGCGGCAACAGGATACAAGTGCAATGCATGGGACAGCCTTAAGTCCATGCGTTCCCGACTGAGATCAACGCGTTTCCCCCGAAATGTTTTGTGCTGAATGTTTCTTAGTGACATCGACTGCCTGTAGTGTCGACTGCTTTCCTTGCTCGCCCGACTGTAGAAGCAGTGGCCCCCAAGAATGTTGCCTTTGAGCGAGTGCGAATGGAGCCACTGCCGGAGCACATGTACGAGGCGATCACTGCAGAGCAATTGGTGATTGATGTCGCCGCCTTGAGTGACCTCACTTAGGATGAGGTTCGCCAGACTACTTGGTTGCACTGCATCTCCAAGGGAATGTCCCGGAGGATCGCCAGGACTTGCACCGACTGGCGCAGGGACTGACAATGATCCGCCCCTTTGCGGACCCGCCGCTGGCGAATGCTCCCACGACTGGACCTGCAGCGATTGATGCCGCTCTTGGCATCAACGTCAAGAATGGCACTGAGGAACCTGCTTCCGCGAGCGCAGGAATGCCTGGAGTGGTGCCCGGATCTGATGCGGCACCTGAGTGGACTGATTCGGTGCCGAATGCTCCCGCACCGAGCGAGCCGAATGCTGCTGCGAACGTGGTGCCTTGGGAGGCCCGCCACTTGATGAATAAGACAATGGTGCAGCACCGACTGAGCCCTGTGACTGTGGGGGTGTCGTTGAGCTCAGTCACTAGAGTGTGGAATGGGCTTGACAGCTACATCACTGTCGTGGAGAATGACCGCCAGAAAGTGGTTGAAAGGGCGAATTGCCTGGAACACGGAGTGGTGGAACGACTGCTTGCAGATTTGACCACCCGGACCAGCATTCGAATGGCCCAATGAGCTCGCTGAGAACGCGAAGGCATTCCCTCAACATCCACCCTGAGGTCAATGGCCCGAACAACCGGATGATTGAGACGAGCAGGACTCAAATGACGAAAGCTGAGCGACTGTTCCTTACCAGAAGAAACTGGCATGTGGAAATGCGCAATCCTCACTATGCCAATGAGAATGCCACCGACGCTTTGGTGAATGTCTATAACTGGCCTTGTCTCCCACTGTCTTTGGCAATGGGATTGTATACCAATGGCGTGCTGGACTTGGCAAAGTTCCCGTGCCACCAGCTGAATGGCAGCTTCAATGCTCTCAGTGCATTGAGGAAGGCTGTCCAATGGGCAAACCAAGGTGTCTTCGAGGAGAGTGAGAATGAAGAGCCGATTGCCCTCGTGGTGTTTCGCCGCACCAAATGTACGGCAATGAGGCGATGGGGCGCTGGAGGACCCGGTGGCAATGCTCGAATGAAGTTCGCGAATTATTTTAGTCGCCAATTCACTGACCACATCAGCACCTTCGAGTGGGATGGAAATGGCCCCAACGACTGGAAATGGACAATGGAATCACTGTCCTAGGCGAGTGCTGGAATTGTGTCCGCATTCCAATGACAGATCCAATGTGCGTGCGCAGCCCCAAGCTGCTACTGTCACTGGATGAGATCATCGAATGGGGAATGCTCGCCACTACTCGAGGCGACTCTCTTGTGGAATGGAGATTGATGGGACATACAATGATCCCACTGTGCCAATGCATGGGCGCAGGATTGGATCACGATTGTTCCACATGGGACGAGATCTACGAGAATGAGGAGACTGCCGCAGCCAATGCTTCGAATGCTCCCAAGGCCAAGGCGAATGAGCAGGCCACTGGGATTGCCCTGGCACAGACAGCGAATGCCCTCGAGCCCGGCTCCGAGATTGTCCTCCGCAAGAATGCGAAGGGCACTGTGAAGTGAAGGCACTAAGCAGCCGATTTAATTTAGGAGTGCCTTGTGACTGCGATTGTTTTGCAAATGTTCTTGCAGATGTGAAGTTCTTCGTGAAATGTTGAATGGATTTCTTCCGCGGATTGCAGAGAATGAAGTTCTTGGATTCAGCTGAATGCATGAGCCGACTGTCTGCAATGATCATTTTGTACAGTGCAAGCTGGCCTCCGGGCGTGTTTTTTTTACGACTCGAGCGTTATCACTGGGTCGAGCCAAAAGTCCGGAATGAGACCAATGATCGTTTCGTTGCTTTGATTAGTGACTGTTCTAACTGTTTCTTTCGATCGCTTCGCGAATGCCACCACCAATGCTCGTTTTTTGCTTGGGAATGATCTTCGACAGAAGTCAATATCAAGGGACTGTGTTAAATGACACGAGCCCAATGTGCACCCGAATGTTCTTGATGCATTAGAGATGCTACGATGCCGAATGGCATTGGGCCAAGGCTGGATGTCACAAAGGAATGTCTGCTTGAGTGTGACTGGGGAAAGTGATTGATCTTGGGCTACTCCTAAGACTGAATTGCACTGTTGAATCTTTCACTCCCCGCAAACACTTGACATGCAGCCTCGCGACGCGTTCTTTTGGTGAAGCTCCTGCAAGAGAACCAAGCCACGCTCTGGGCCGTGCTGCTGCAGCAGGGACAGCTCTGGATGTTTGGAAATGGCCTCAGACAGATCACATTGCCCCATGACTTCACACAGTTCAGCTGAGGCGAGGGCAGCATCGGTTTCGTTCCCAACCTGGAGTTGCCGGAGCCAAGGAGTGCTCTGCGAGGAAACATGCGTCCATGGCGCCATGGAGAGGACAATGTCCAACTGGCTCTGAGCATCCACGACGTGCTCCAGGCTGCCAAGCAGAAGTGAAGAAACCTTCAAGAAACTCCCTCGTGTAAACCCATCCATTGCATCCTCTTCTATGGAGAAAAACTCGGATCCGTGCATTATTCATCTTGTGGTCGATCTCCTTGCACTGCTAGCGATCCAGCAGCAGCCACAAGGACCATGCGGACCAGCACTTGCTTCCCAAACTCTGCGGCCCTACACTGCAAATTCCAACCTTCCGACAATGACAAAGCGTTCAATCCCAGATCCAAGCACCAAGCTTGCACAAACCGATCCTGCCAGTTTATCCAATGGCTCAAGGCCGGACCTGATTGCCTGCCTCTTACAGTCACGCAGAGCCAAGCATCTGTTTGGAGCGCTGAAGCAATGCCCGTCCCGACATTGGACCAGCCTTTACAGTGCAGCCCCGCAGCAGCAACTGGCGCTGACCGATCGCTCTTTTCTTGGCACCTCGAGTGGAGTGGCCAATCTCCCGTAGCGCATCCGCCGTCCACTTGTTGCCGACCAGCACGATCGCCTGAGACATGCAGCCATGTTCCTATTTCCCAGAGTCGCTTCTTAGGCCAGCACGTTGAACACGACAGTGCTCACCTGCCAAGGGCCCAATCACATGTGGAAACTTCCTCCGGCTAGTCGGCCCAAGCAGCAACAATCATTCACGCTCTGTGGCAGATTCCGTGCAACACGTGCTGGCCTCTCTCTCTCTCTCTCTCTCCGCCCACTTTTCTGTGTCTCGTATCTCAGGCGAGAGTCAACCAAGAAGATTGTGCACCAAGGAGTGGATGGCGAGGTCAAAGACCCTGCCATTACCTGAAACTGAAACGCACTCTATGACTCCCCTCCCTTCCAACACTATCGAATGCGTGACGGTCATGCGTATTTCCGCCTGAAGCCTGAACTCGAGGCTTATTTCGATTGCTGGCAGGCGGCGTAAACGTAATTCGGTTAACGAGCGGACCTACACCGCTGCACAGGTGGCGTTACTCACCTGAGCCAGGTGCCTGCAAGAACGGAGTAAACTTGTTTCCTTGAGAAAGCCGTCCGCAGTGCTTTTGCAAGGCCGGGCCATGTTACGTTGCAGGCACACCTTTTCGGCTACCAACAGCGGTGCAGGGCGTGTCTCAGGCGCCACACCTTCCAGTTCCTGACATGTTAGAGGGTTAGGCGGCTTAGAGTTGGCAGAGGGTCAGGCGATCAAGATTTGCCGTAGTCGCCTCAGGGCGATCGCATCGAGTTTGCCGCAGCAGCAGCTCCTGAAGCGGCGATTCAAAACGCCATCCAAGAAGCAAATCCCAAGCCGGGCCGCCTCGGGCAGCGGAAGCCCACCTCCAAGTGAGCTCAGGAGAGCCTCGAAGTACACCACACTCGAATCAAAAGGAGTCCGAACCGCGAATACAAGCCTCCATTGCATCATACTCATCCTGGAATAGCTGCTGAAGATCCCTGACCTTTGCACCAGCACAGGCTCACCAAACTGTTTGGGCAACAGCTGTCCAGAGACATCCCCTCTTCAGGCCCGACGAGAGATTCGTTCTGACACAGGTCGGTGCGGTAGCCCCTCGGCAAGGGGAAAGCGCTGCAGCCGACGGCTGTTACCACTGAATCAATCAAGCGTGTCGCCTCTGATGGTTGTGCCGCTCGACCTTGAAAGTAGCCGGTAGCCTGAGATCTCCCGGCCAATCTACATGTTCATGGTGCAGGTGCAGGACTCGGAACTTGGCTTCAGACTTTCTCGCACCGAGAAAGTGTGCGACGTTTGTGTAAGTCTCGACAGGCTGGTGTCGCAAATGTGCCTCTCTGAAACAAAGGCCAACACCCCACAACGGCTGAAACTCGTCGACGAGACCGGCACCTGATGGATCATGCGAAGGTTGCTAGGGCCCAACAGGCCGTATAGCGAGCGCATGTGAAAGCCTCAACATCAAGGCACAAGCAGCGACCATGTCAGGAAAGGCGGTGCGCAAAGCCTCTCACCACTAAGGCAAAGCACCGAAACTGGCTTGTCTCACCATTTCGGGTTCCTGACCATGTCGGATTTTGATGTGCAAATGCAAAGTTGAAGCTGCGCCTCCAGCGCACTCACAGGCCCGCGGAAACAGCGCTCTCGGCCATCTGCCAGCTTGTGACGTGGCATCGCCGGATGCGCTTTGCAGTGGAGGTGCATCCAAAACCTGACCAGTGACCGGCCTCTGCTACTGTTGTCATGAAGCAAGTTGTGTCTGCTTTTTTGACTTCGACAAAACTTGAAGCACAAAGCCCCGCGCCACTTTTCAAACCTGCACAGGTCTTGCGAAACATCAAGACGCCAACTTACACAAAGTCCACAAGCTTGCGGGATTCGGTGAAGCGTCAAATGGTTTCTACGAGCAAAGGCAAGCTGTGGGCTAAGTAACCTGCTTACGGGATCGCACACGATGATCACAACTTTCAGCCTGGCAGTCATGATCGAAGTCTCAGAAAATCTTCAACTCTTCAGTCCATGAGTTCGTGCCTGGGAATGTGGGCCAGAGCGAGCCGCACCCGATGGCTGTGGTAGAGGCCAGGATGACGCAACCCACGAAGGCATTCCGAGCAAGAATGGGACAGCCACTGAAAATTGAAGCTTTCAACCTCCAGGAAGGAAATCCGTGGCAAAAGACTTGGCCAGTCCATGTCCTGGCCTCGTCCCGGTAGGGCAGCAAGGAGTCGTGCTGGTAGAAGAAATCGTCTTCGCCGTGCAGTGTGAAATCAACATCAGAGACCTGACACGTAACAAACGACCCTGGCACATTTTCTCATCGCCGTGCCTGGTCTAGCGCATTGGTAATAGTGTTGGTGCCGCAGCTGCTCAACCCCCCGATGACGAAATCCAGATGTAGCTGAGACCAATGGGAGAGTTCCCGAACCTGCCACGGGCTAGAAAGGCGCTTGAAAAGAGCAACTGTTCTTCACGGCATGCTGTCCAAGGCCTTCAAATGCTCTGCAGTTGAAGGCAAAGCGAATTTGAGATGTAACGCGCGAGCAAGATAAACAGGATAAATTTGCACTTGCACCTGCCCAAACAAACTCAGCACTGTCTCACGGCAATGCGGCCACAGCCAAGCAGCCTGGGCTCGATCGCACGTAGCATGAGCACAAATACCGCCCAAAAGGCGATCGGGGACACCACTCCACAAGCCCATGAAATGGTCTAAACATCCGGGACAATCTGGTGCCTCAGACCAAAGCATCGCGAAAGTGGTGCAGTCTTGGAGGGCCGAGCTTATGCAACAGTCGAGTCACCTCGTGAGTCGAACCAGAAACGCGCAATGTAGAAACATAGGACGGGGTGTCCAATTCGGTTTCCCAGTAACGTCCACCCACGGACCAACAACGCCGTGCTTGGTCTTCCACGGCTTGAAAACGAGCATTGACCCAATGTTCCGCTGAAGCATCACCGTTGTCTGCTCTTCGCCAGGATGCTGTAGATGCGCCTGCCACTCGTGATTCGACCAATTCGACGTGACACCATGAAAACTCGCAACGGCATGCATGGCAAGTCTGCCCTTCCAATCTGGGCTCCCGTCCAGAATGCAAGAAAAACGGCTCGGGATCAACGTCAACACAACACCAAACTGACACGAATGCCAGACTGGCTCGCTTCCATTGGCTCATCTCGTTTCGAGCCAACACCGGGGACAGCACGGCTGTAATGATCATGCGATGCCAAATGTCGAAATAGCACAAAACCACTCAACCAAAGCGCCGTCTTGGCCAAAGCCAAAGCACAGTGTCCAATCGAGATTCGACTGGACGTACCCAGAAAATCTGGTATCCTTGCTTTGGATTGGAACGTTTTTGCAAGAGCATGGTTAAACTAGTACGCGGGCCGCAAATGTCGCGAATGCCAAACGCTCTGCCAACATTATTCGCATTTGCTACGCTGCGCGAAAATTTGGTATTGATGATGTAACTGCTCCCTTCACAAAGCTTGATGATATAGATGTGGTCGCCTAATAGACTTGATCGTTGGCTTGGTAGACGTAGACCACAGCCTCACTGCAATCCGCTTCCTACTGACTCGAACTCCTTTTGCTTGCAGTCGCTCGGCGAATGGTCTGTGCACAGGGGAATGATTCGAGGCTTTTGGATCGCTAGCGTACAACCTGAGCCGTAAGCTTTAAGCTAGTGGCAGTTTCGAGCTTGATTTCGTTTTTGAGCCACAGAGTTGGGTATCAGGCGGAGCACTGGAAAGGATTAACCGACCTGCACAGCCGCATCGTTGTATATGTACATTTTCTGCAAAGCAAAGCAGGTCCATGACATTGCACTCACGATTGGGAACAGATAAGAAAAGGTAGTGTCTTATCCGCCGCATCTTTGCGAGATTTCCCAACTTGAATCGTTGTGACACTAAACTACGTCAATAACCATCCCCCGACATGACTCGTCGGTATCAGGATGCCACCGAAGAAGACGGTGTGATGTAGATCACATCGATGACGCCAGTTTCACTGCACATGCCGAGCATGTCGAAGTAGGCGAACGTGAACAAGTTATTACTGTTTATTCTCTGTTGCGAAGCACATCATGTGCAATCATTGTGATTGAAAATGATTGAACGTATTGCACAAAACTAACTGCTGATTCCGTTGCGCGGGTTTCGGGGTTACGGGTGTGGTTTGCCCAGGGTGGACAGGAGCTGCTCATCTCATGCAACGAGTCACACGGTTATGACGACAACATGAATGGGGCAACCTGATGCATAAAATGCGAGCTTTGTGCACTCCACAGCCTCGTCTCAACACCGCCGCACTTGTTTTCTCCGCGCAGGAAGCACCAAGAGCTCTGCAATGTACAAGGTTCAGCCCCGCTACCTTTGCCCGTCAGTCGGATCCAGGCTGTGTCAGCATGAGTCGTGTCTGCTTGTGCGTCCTACAGAGTCTAAAGGCCGCAGTGCAGCAGTGGAGGATTCCAGTCCACAGCAGCTGTGTTTTCAGCTGTTTTTGGGTCTTCTTAGAGGCTTGCCGGCACCGACACCCTGTTTGGGTACAGCTTCAGCCTTCGGCTGACGCTTCCTCTTGTTCGTGGGCGTTTCATTCGGCTTGGATGCACTGACGTGCAGGGTAGTGGCGTTCAGGAACGAAGATTGAGATTAAGGGTTCAGGAAGGCTGAGTCAGGCAGAGCGAGAATTAGTTCTTTCTGTCTGTGATCCTGCCTTCACCTTCGTCTTCGCCACACGTTCTTTCTTGTCCTTCAGTTAAACTGTAAAACCCTGAGCGGTCACGCTTTTACTCTTGAACCAAAGGCGCTGCGTCGGTCACATAGTATGCAGCTATACAATACTATACCGTAGCCTGGGCTCACCAAAGGTGTGGGGCGTTCCTATGTACAGAATTCAACACCCTGCCTCGAAGTCCTTGTGCTGTACTTCGATCGGTCCGCGGTCGGGCATACCTCCGCCCGTGACTGCATCGGCTTAGCCATTGCAAGTCCTTGGGTTAAACACTCCGTGCAACCCACCTTTTGACCGTCCCCCAATTAAGGAGGTGTGTCAGACCGTCCTTGTCCTGACTCGTACAGTAACAAGTACTTCGTCCTAGTGAAACATTCCACACAAACTTCCTGCGTTAGCGCTCATCCTTCTTTTGCGCTTTTCGCTGCTGTGTGTTCCGAGGTGAAACTTTTTCAGTCTTGCCTACACTCACTTCTCTGCCTCATACTCGTACACGATGTAGGACTTACTGACTTCCGAACAACGTTCTCTGTTCCGTGCTGTCCGGTGTACCTGGATCCACATCCATTGGCATTTCCGTTCCTTGTCCGCGTTCTTCATACTGCCTACAGTAGTCTTCATACGATTCCTGTGCTTCTGGGGATAACATCATGTTCCCCATCTCTTCCACAGTGATCATCTTTCCGCGGTACTCAATCTTCTCCGGCGAGGGTTCCGTCTTCCCTTCCGGCTCTTCCTGAATCATTCCTGAAATGACTTTGCTTCCACGTTCGTGGTCTTCTTCACTGATTATCGGCATACGCGTTCCGTCCGTATGTACGATTGCTGGAGTCCCCATTGCTGCTTTTCCACGTCTCTTCAGGGATCCTTTTCCATTGCCACTCTTTTGTCCAGTATTCCATGCATGCTTTCCATCATCCGTTATACGGGTCTCTTCCTTTTCCGTGGCATCCCAAGATCCTTCTGTCGCAGTTCTGTCATAACTTTTCCTCCATTGTTCCATTGCATACGTCTTGATGCATTCTGTGCAAGAACATTTCTGGTGGTTTACCTTCTCCCTTGTACACTTCCGGATTCCGCACCAGTAGCACTTCTTTGTGCATCCGCCAGTTGACTCTACCTCGAAGTCAAGCTCCATCACTTCCCAGTCGCTTTCGTCTGGGGTTGGCGGCTCTACGCGTTCTCGGCGTCTTCTCAGACTTCCTTCTGGCTTCGTCTCCGGGAAACAAATCCAACATGCCCTAAAGCCTTCCAGCTCGGCTTCCTGCATGTCCTTCCAGACCCACCGGCCTGGCTTCTTGTGAGATCCCTGGACATGCCAGCATGTACCACGGTGGTACACACGTGCTCGGCTTCCCGTACTGATCTTCACGCGTCCAATACCTCGTAGGTTTTCCAAGACTCTCGTTACCTTCGTCCATACCAAAATACCATACGGCACTGCGAGCAAAAATACGCATACCATCATTCCAACTTCAAACTTCGTGAAGTCTCCGTCCATGGCGTTCATACCTTTCTCCAAGGCTCCACAGGTTTCTACTTGGGCGTTAGATACTTCCTCCTTGAGCACTGCTGCGGTAATCGGCTTCATCAAATGAAATACCTGTATGGCTCTAATGAGATTCTTGATTTGTCCACTTCCGACATACTCCTTCAGTTTCTTCTCTTGTTCATGCTTTTCATACTCTTTCTCTCCAGTGTACTCCAAGTTTCCTTCTTCATCATACTCTACTTGAGACAAGTGATACAGTAGAAATGACCTTCGGGCATATGACAACTTCTTGGTGTTCAGATCCGCTACATTGAGCGCGGTTCGCACTGTACCAAGTTTTACAAGATTGTCTCGCACCCAATCTTGCAGTTGACACAGCCTAACGTCCACATGCTTCAGACGTCCAACTCCTCGTCGTTGACTCCACTGTCGTGCAGATGATGAATCGCACCGTATCTCCACTCGTACAGGCGCGTTTACTAGGAACTCAAATAGCCTTCCGACTAGGATAGCTTCTCCACAAGTTCCACTTAGTGCATACAACTCTGCTTCACAGCTTGATGATGATGTGGCCTTCTGAGTCCTAGAAAATGATAACACTTGTACTCCGTTCAGTACAATGATTCCTGATGATGTACTCTTCCTTCGGGCTCTGTCCGGTGTCTTCAGGCTTGCCCAATCACTGTCCGAATACGCTTCCACAACATGTCCTGCGTCCTTGGCAATTTCTTCGTCCTCATGGCCATTCAACTTCGTGATCAACCGGCTTCCGATTTCGGTATACGGTAACAGAGTAGCCCTTGTGGCTGTTCCACTCAGATACAGAATCAAGTGCTTCAGACACTTTAGTGCCTGCACCGTCGGCTTCGACATACTTGATGCTAAACACTTTGAGGCATACTGAATGTCAATTCTGTCCTGTGCAAGGTACAAAATAGATCCGAGTCCAGACCTAAACCGTTTTGTCTCTTCAGCACTCAACTCCTTGGTCCGGTCTTCCTTCACCAGATCCACATGCTCTGGTGTGGCCTTACTCTTCAACTTTCCAAGGTCATACAACTCAATGAGCTTCCGAACATACTTCTCATTCGGTTGGACAACAATTCCTTCTCGGGTGAAGACATACTTCCTTTTGAGATATCGCATCTCTTCTCCACTTCCTACTCCATTCGCTGGGTACGGTCCTTCTTTCTCCACCTTGAATACCTTCTCCAGTTCTTCTACCAACCAAATGGTTTCTTCCTTTTCTCCTGCTAGTAGCTCATCATCTACATGGATAGAGATACACAGCTTCCTTGTGGTGTGTCTAGCTAATGCGGGTACATGTACTGAGAACACGAATCCAAGTTTCTCAAGTATACTTCGCAAATGTTCATACCATCTTGTTGCTGCGTTTCTTTGACCAGGTAGGCATCTCTTGAGCCTCCACACGATTCCTTCTTTCAGGTTCGCGGCTCGTTTCATCCAATCACTGATTGTGATTAGCACCTCTTCTTGTTGCGGGACCTGAAGGTACGCGTCCTTTATATCAAGTACAACTACGACCCAGTTGTATACCAGGTGTAACAACAAGACTAGGCGCGACGCGGCGTTGCTTGCCGTTGGGCTGAATGTCTCAGCTGTGCTGCTCGCACCTGCCCTGTACTCTCTGGCCACTATGCGGCACCTCCTTTTCCAACGTCCGTCACGATGCCTCCAGTCGTAGACTTCGCGCAAATCCATACGCTTTTCATCACCTGTTGCATTCGCCTCCATGAATTCCTCGATTACTCCTAGCTTGCTAAGGCGATTCAATTCTTCCACGGCTGCTTCCTGATCCAAGGCATCCAGTTCCTCTGGACTTAATTCGGGTGGTGTTTCTCCTTGGTCATTCTTTGGAACTTCTTCCATCTCTTCTTCCATGAGATCTTCATACTCCACGTCTTCTCCTTCTACTGCCGTGAGAT